TGAGATCAGGCCACCCTGGTCTACAAAGACAATAAATCTGAAATTGCCTAAGAAATGACACCGTCACCATGTTCTCCTGAGGCATCCTCTCGGCCTTTCAGGGCATGCACACAGAGACACTTGTGCGTGCGTCTGGTTTCTTTGCCGCTGTTTTTATATAGAAGTGTGACCATATGACACAGACATCTTTAAACCCTTTGTACCGGGGGCTGGAGAGATGGCTCAGTGGTAAAGATCACTGGCTGCTCTTCAGGACTCCAGTTCTGATACCTGCACCCTCTGGGCGCCTCATACACATCTGTCACTCCAGGGGACCTGATGCCCTCTCCTGGCCGCCATGGGTACTGCAGGCACATAGTGCCTAGACATACATGCAAGCTGAAGATCACACACACAAAAATACCTTAAGAAAAAAACACAAGCCCTTCACATCCACTAGCGTAGATCTCACCTCTGCTTTCTTGAGACAGAGTCCCTCACTGAGCCTGGAGCTTGCTGTCCTTGGGCTAGCCCTGGCAATCCCCTGTATCTGGACCCTGAGCTGCAGCGTTGGGGTACAGGTGCATGTAGCCTGAGCTCTTCCGTGGCTGCTGGGTCTGGAGTCAGGTCCTCATGCAGTAAGTGCTCTTACCCACTGGGCTGTCTCCAAGCCTCTTCATGTTGATTTATTTACATATTGGAGACCGTCATGGTGTAGCTCAGGTTGGCCTTGAACTTGTGGCGATCTCTCTTCCTTGTCATCGTGACTGCTGGGGCCCGGTTCAGTCTTTTTTGTTTTTCGGAACCGTTCCTTACTATGTATCCCTGGTTAGTCCTGACTTAGTCCTCCTGCCTCAGCTTCCTGAGTGCTGACATCACAAATTTATTCTGGGTTGTTTTGCCTAGTTAGACTTCTTTCTCTTTCTTTCTTTCTTTCTTTCTTTCTTTCTTTCTTTCTTTCTTTCTTTCTTTCTTTCTTTCTTTCTTTCTTCCTTCCTTCCTTCCTTCCTTCCTTCCTTCCTTCCTTCCTTCCCTTTCTTCCCTTTCTTTCTTTTTTTTTGAGAGAGAGAGAGTGAGTTTCTCTGTGTAGCCCTGGTGGCTATCCTAGAACTCACCCTGTAGACCAGGCTCACCTCAAACTCAGAATCTGCCTGCCTCTGCCTCCCGAGTGCTGGGATTAAAGGCACAGGCCACAACGCCTGGTCAGCCTATTTTCTTACATCACCCAGGACCATCTGCCCAGGTGTGGTACCACTCAGTGAGCTGGGCCCTCCCACATCAATCATTAATCAGGAAGGCCCCACAGACATGCCCATAGGCCAATCTGACAGAGGCGTTTTCTCAAATCCCAGATGACCTAATTGTGTCAGGTTGACAATGAAACCTAGCCACACAAGGTCGTATGTAGCTCAGGCTGACCCTGAACTCACTATGTAGCTAAGGATGACTTCCACCTCCTGGTCCTCCCGTGCCCGTCTCCCAAGAGCTGGGGTGACAGGTATGTACCCCGAAAGACGTTTACGTGATGCTGGAGATGGAGAAGAGCCTGTGATGTCAGGAGTCACACGCCCAGCCCTGGATTAACTTTCATACGGCTGTGGTGGCTTGCCTCACTGTCTTCCCGGCGGGGCCGAGGGGGGCTGCATCACTTATTAAGGGATCCCAGTCTTCCTCCGAATGGAAGCTCTCCCCCCACGCCACCCTGGTAGACAACATCAGATCTGGGCTTCTCACTTCTCCCTCATTTGTCTGAGCGTGTCTGGAAAGGGGTCAGCAGGAGTCACAGTTCTGGAAAACTCTATGCCCTGGGGTAGACTAGATGGGTGAGCAGTCTGGTTTCCCTAAGACCCCTAGGGAGCCCCCCGAATGCATGAGGGGCTCCTCACAGCCCCGCCCGCCCGCCCCCTCTGCTGCCTTCTCCAGGACTAATCTCATTAGGCTTCACCCCTGCTTACAAGACTCATCACAGCGGCCTGCTGCCCCCTCCCTGCCCCTAATCCCCATCTGGCCCCCTTCCCCCGTCTCATCTGTCTCCCCCCACCTCAGAACAAGGCCTGGGACAGACTGGGGTGGGGGGAGTTGTGGCCTGTGATATCTCCTCCACCTTCTAATTCTCCTGAGCACTTGATCCCCACCCCCACCCCCACATGGGTAGAAGCTGCTTCCTTTGCTCCCCCTGCCCCCTTCTGTTCCTGCCACCTGGCCAGGAGGGGTCTCTTCCCCAAAGGTCTCCACCTTAAGCCCTTTGAGACAGGATCTGGCAAAATGTCATGAGCGTGTATCAGAATTTTCCCAAGCTCTCCTCAAGGGACCTGCAGCCAGCAGCCAGGCTCCGGTGGGAAGAAATATTCTCCAGTCCTTCAGAGACTGCTGGGCAGTGGTAGTGACTTCAGATCTATTAGCAAGTCCCAAAGGAGCTGCCTGGGGTCCTTACGGCAGCAGCACCCCACAACTGTGGACTCGTCAGGACCAGGGGCGATGGCTCAGCTGAGCAGTGTGGGGCATGTGATGCTCCGTTTTCCCAGCACCAGTTTGAAAGGGGTGGACCCACCTATAGTGCCAGCACCGGGAGGTGGCCTCCGAGGGAGGGCCGAGAGTTCCCGGGTGAAGCTGGAGAGATGGCCCTGTGGTGAACCCTTCCGGCTCTCCCAGAGGACCCGAGTTCTGTTCCCAGCACCTAAGCTGAGTGGCTCACAACTGCCTGAAACTTTAGCTCTAGGAGATCCAGTGCTCTCTTCTGGCCTCTGAGGTAACGTGCACTCACATGGCACACACGCATGCCCGCGCACGCACGCGCACGCACACACACACAAACAAAAATCAATGTTAAAAGAAAGAGTTCCGGGTCATCCTCAGCTACATAGAGAGCTGGAGGTCAGCCTGGCCTACATGATCCCCTGCCTCAAAACGGCAACCGTGGTACTGGAAAGATGGCTCTGTGGTTAAGAGCACTCACCTGGTGGCTCATAACTGACGCCCCCTTCTGGCTTCCCTGGGCACTTGCATGCATGGTACACATACATACAAGCAGGCAAACACTCATAAAAAATAAATCAAGTAGCAACAGAGTTGAAATTCCGGGAGCCATTGCATCAAGCCGTTTAGCTGGAGGATTTCTGGCATCAAACCGAGTTTTCTGATCCACAGACACAGGGTGTCCCCTGGCCCCCTTCGGCCTTTATTCTCTGAGATGATGTTTAGAAGCTTTCTGAGCACATCTTCATGTGGGTTTTTTTTCCCTTTCTTCCTGTGGGGTTGAATTGAACCTAAGTGCTCACACATGCCAGGCTCCACCACAGAACACTACTCACAGCCCTGTATTTCTGTATTTTCTTTTCGCTTTTAGTTTTAATGTGTGTGTGGGGGTGTGTGTGTGTGTGTGGTGGGTGTGGTATATACATGTGGGTGTGGGCATTTATCCATTCCCATGTGAGAGTGCAGAGGCCAGGGGACAGCTTTGGATGTCTCCTCTATTGCCTGCCACCTCTGCCTGTCAGTGCTGGGATTACAGGAGCATGCAGCCATGGCTGACTTTGTTTCTTTTTGGTTTTTGAAGACAGGGTTTCTCTGCAGACCAGGCTGGCCTTGAACTCACAAAGATCCACCTGTCTCTGCCTCCTGAGTGCTGGGATTAAAGCCGTGTGCCACCACCGCCCGGCAAAAATAAATAAATAAAAATTAAAAATTACTTTGAGGAGAGGTGTCCCATAACGTGAGGGGATTAAACCTGAACTCAGGGCATCTTTCTGGCCCGTGGCCAGCTTCCGTATTTCATCTTTTTGTTTGTTTGTTTTTGAGAAGGCTGTCATGTAGCCAGGCTGGACTGACACTCACTCTGTAGCTTGGACAGTCTTGAACTCAATCTCCTGACTCTTCCTCCCTGTGCCGGGCCGTAGGGCACAATGCCACACCTGGCTCTGGACCGTTTTTGTTGTTAATTTCTTTATCTTGGATTGTCCATTCCTAGCATGTAGAAAACCCACAGTTCTTGTGCATTGAGCTAGGATCCTGCCGACTGTGAGTTAGTTCAGTGGCTGGTCACTTGCTTAAGAAGAGTCTCGTGACAGAGCCCAGCCTTTCCCTGGAGCGCTCTATCCTCTGCCTCAGCCTCCTGAGTGCTGGGAGGGCAGTCGTGCATGCCATCTGGCTGCTGCCTGGCTGGAGGCGGACTTACTTTATCTTATCTCATGTAGCCTAGGCTGGCCTCAGACTCCTTATCCAGCTGAGGCTGTCCTTGAACTGCTGACCCCTTGCCTCCCACTCTCTGGTGCTGGGATTGCAGACAGTGGAACTATGCTCAACCCAGAGCTTTCTGACAGGAACGTGGGCATCCTGATACATGAGTGTATTATTTTTATGTGTGTTTTGACTTCACGCATGTATGTGTACCACATGTGTGTCTGATGTCCTCATCAGATCCCCTGGACCTGGAGTTACAGTTATGAGCTGCCATGTGGGTGCTGGGACTCAACCCTGGATCATCTGCAAGGGCAAATGCTCTTAACCACTAAGCCATCTCTCCAGTCCCCGCATAGTGCATTTTTGATAGGCACATGCCTCTCATACTTTAATTATATTTATATATAATATTTTTATATGTATGAGTGTTCTGCCTGCACGTATGCATGTGTACTGCTTGCATGCCTGGCGTCCTCAGAAGCTGGAAGAGGGCATTGGGTCCTCTGGAACAGATGGTTGTGAGCCTCCGCATGGGTGCTGGGAATTGAACCCAGGTCCTCTGAAGAGCAGCCAGTGCTCTTAACCGCTGAGCCATCTCTCCAGCTCCTGAGGTGTATTTTTGATAGGCACGTGACTATCGTGGTTTAGGCTATCCTTCCAGACCCCATGTGCATCTGGACTGAGGCACAGCCTTCAAGTCTGGCCCTTGAATGTGGGTAGAGGTGACGGCAGTTGCAAGCTGTCCTGGGCACATCAGGCAGCCTTCGGAGCTCCCACTAGAGGGCAGCACTGGGTACCCGCAGTGGAGACCCAGGGACCCGAAAGGCTCGCTGTCTGGCCCCTCACAGAAGAGCATTTGCCCACTGGCTTAGCCGGCCTCTTCGCAGTCAGGCCTCGTGAGCCCATCCTTCTGGGGTCCCTGGGGCGAGAGGCAGCTCCCCCTCTGGTTCTCCATGTAGTACTTCCTTCCCAGGCTGGCGGTGGCTGCTCCTCCCCAGCAAGAACATTTGCTGGGAACAGTCACACAGTTACAACCCGGATGAGAAGAACAGATGCTAGACCCCACTCGTCCCTCCGGGACCGGCCATCCTGGCCCAGAATTCTCTGCTTGCCTGCATCGCAGTACTTCGGCCCTCTCTCCTTCCTCTCCTTCGTTCTCTGAACTCCATCGCACAGCCCTTTCTCCGCTGACCGGCTGCACCTGCGTGCCCTGGTCCCCGCTGGAGCCTTCCTTACTTCCGGGTGGCGTCTCAGCCCCGATAGGACTGATGCCGTTAGCTCGTGGATGCCGGTACCCCTAAGAGGCGACTCTCTCGAATCAGCCACCTGAGGTCTCCTTCCGCTCTCTGGTGGAGTCTTGGGTTTCCCCAAGGTCCTCATCCCCTTATTCATTTCCACCTTCAGGTCAAGCCCCGGTGGGCTGCATCACTTCTCGTGTGGCCCTCTGCGAGTTTCCCTTGGAAGTGCCTTTCTCTGTGGTCGGCTTGTCTGTGCCTGACCGCAAAGGCATAACCTCCAAGCTGGGACCCTCTCACTAGAGGATGGGCCACCTGCCAGGTAAGTGCTGAGGCCAGGTCACTGGGGCGAGGGGCTGGAGAGACTGGAATGGCCCAGGGGAAGGGAAGGAGCTCAGGCCCAACTGCTGATCCAGCCCCCAGGGCTGGGTCACTGTCCTTAGCCAGCAGGCAGGACTCCACCTAGGCACCCCAGCTCTTCCCTTCTCTCTTCCCTCGCCTCCCAGGCAGGCCAGGCCAGGCAGTGGAACCCCTTCAGGACACAAGACTCACCCATCAAAATCCCGTTCAATCTCTAGCCCAGAGGGAACAAACTCCGTTACCTGGTTCACTCCACCTGTCCCGCCCACCTCTCACCCCCTGCCCAGCCTTTGGGGTGCCCTTTGCCCCTTTCTCACCCCCAGAACTACAGTGCTTCTCCAGTGCCGGGCCTAAAGGCATGTGCCACCAGGGCTGGCTTGGCTTTCCTTCTCTATGTATTTATTTTTGAGACAGGGTCTCAAGGAGGGAGGCTCTAACCAGCTCCACAGAGGAAGGTGGCCAGAGCCAGTGAGCCTCCTGCCTCCACCTCCTGTGTGCTGGGATTGAAGAGTCACACCTCCAAGTCTGTGATGAGCTGGGGTCGGAACCCTAGTTTATAAGGCCGGTGGCACACTCTGGTAACTGAGCCACAGCCTCAGCCTTACCTCAGGTTTTCCTCATGAACGACCACCACTGGAGGCTGAGCAGGTCCTTGATACTGCTTGATTTTTAGTGTGTGTGTGTGTACAAACTTCTGTGCCCAAGGAGGCCAGATCTCCCGGAGCTAGAGTTACAGGTGGCTGAGTCACCTGACCCAGTGGTTAGGAACGTGGCACTCTTAACAGCTGAGCCGTCCCTCCAGCCCAGCTGACGGAATCACGATCCTCTGCAGGGACAGAGGCGCGCAGGATCTCAGGTGCCCGCACTCACGAGTGTATGGCCTGTGGAGACTTGACGAACAACAGCCCTGAGCAGCCAGCTAGCTGCTTGCTTCTTTTCCCTCTAAAACCTTGTTCTGGCCCACCTCTGCCCTTCCTCCCTTGTGTCACAGCTGGTAGCAGGGTGAATTTGCAGCTTCTCTGATGTCCCCAACCCCAGCACGCTGCAGGGGCACCTTGCTGTGCCCAGGTTCCTTCCAGACTCCCACCTCCTAGCCAGTAGGTTGTCTGAAGGCCACACAGCAGGCCTGCACTCGGGCCTTCGTTTGAGGGAACTTACCTGTGATTGCAGGAAGCTGCCAGGCAGGCCCCATTGCGGTAAGGAGGACACGTGAGAGTCTGCGCAGAAGGTGCTGGCTGCTGATGGGAGCTGTGGCAGAGGGTGGAGTGGGAGGCTGATGGGGCTGGTCTCACTGAGGGGCAGGGAGAGGTGAGGCCTTTCCTCCCTCCCGGGGGCAGTGGCTGAGGTGCCATTCACTTGCCACACCCTCACCAGCTGGACAAGGGAGCATCGCAGGTGCTGAGGCGCCTGGGGGGTGGGCAGCAGCTGCTCTTCTGAGATGCTGCGTCTATGCATTTTCCTGGTGAGCTGACCCCACGCCGATGGCTGCCTGGGCCCTTCCTTTGGTTTTTAGAAGTGCCGAATGGATCTCTGTGGCAGCTCACGACACTTGGGGAAGTTAGAGTGCAGACTGCTACAAGACCAAACAAACCCTCTTTCCTGGCGTCCCCCAGCAAGGCCAGGGATAAAACCTCCTCTCCCCAGATCTTTTGCTAGGATCTACTCTCAATACAAGTGGTTTCATCACTGTTGAGATTCAATTAAAAAACCCCAAACTCCATAGCTGAGGAAAAAAAAAAGACCAAAGAGCCTGTTAGATAAAAATAAAAGGCAGGATACAGTAATTTAAATCCACATGTAGAAACACAGAGGGGGTGGAGAGATGGCTCAGTAGTTAGGAACACTGGCTGGACAGAGGTGGTGGCCACGCCTTTGATTCTTGCACTCGGGAAGCAGAGACAGATCTGAGTTCGAGGCCAGCCTGGTCTACAGAGGGAGTTCCAGTACAGCCAGGGCTGCTGAGAAACCCTGTCCCGAAAAACCAAAACCTCAAACAAACAAAGGACACAGGGTGCTGACTGGGACAGTCAGAAATGTAATCTGTGTAAGGGTCCTGGCTCAAGGGGCCAGGAGGGGAAGGAGTGATAGAAAGACAGATTTTTTTTTTTTCCTAAGCTAGGGTCTCACGCAGCCCAAGCTGGCCTTGAAATCCTAATCCTCCTGCCTTCATCTCCAAGGACTGGAACTACACTCACTTACACTGACTTGCTATTATGATTGGCTAAAGTTTTTTTGTTTTGTTTTCTTTGAGACAGGGTTTTTCTGTGTAGTCTGGTTGTCCTGGAAATCACTCTGCAGACCAGGCTGGCCTCGAACTCAGAGATCTCCCTGCCTCTGCCTCCCAAGTGCTGGGATTAAAGGCGTGCGCCACCACTACCTGGCTTGACTAAAGTTTTTATATGCTATTGAAATTATGTTGGTAGTAGCTCAAATTATATTCCATTAAATTAAGATGTTAACGGTCATCTGTAGGACCATCACCAATACCTAGAAAGAAAAGATTAAAAGACAAAGGAAATTGGAATGTCACTCTAGAAAACGTTTATGTTTCTTTTTTTTTTTTTTTTTTTTTTTTTCGTTTTTCGAGACAGGGTTTCTCTGTGTAGCTTTGCGCCTTTCCTGGGACTCGCTTGGTAGCCCAGGCTGGCCTCGAACTCACAGAGATCCACCTGGCTCTGCCTCCCGAGTGCTGGGATTAAAGGCGTGCACCACCACCGCCCGGCTACGTTTATGTTTCTTTTTTTTTTTTTTTTTTTTGGTTTTTCGAGACAGGGTTTCTCTGTGTAGCTTTGCGCCTCTCCTGGAACTCACTTGGTAGCCCAGGCTGGCCTCGAACTCACAGAGATCCACCTGCCTCTGCCTCCCGAGTGCTGGGATTAAAGGCGTGCGCCACCACCGCCCGGCACGTTTATGTTTCTTAACCCAATTGAAGGTGGTACTGGAGAATGACAGACGGGGCAGTGCAGTAAGACTGAAAACTTGCAAGTGGGGTTGGAATGGAGCTCAGCTGGCAGTGTGCTGGCCTTGCATGGATGTGGGGTGCTGGGAACCGAACCCAGGTCCATGGGGAGAGCAGCAAGTACTCCTGAACGATGAGCCAAAGATCTTACGATGAAAAGAGTCAAAATACGGGAGACATTATCACAATCATGTGTGCGCACCAAAGCCCCAAATATACGGAGCCAAGCTGAAGGAACCAAAGGCACCTTCAAGACAGCTCAGCAGTCATGACGGAGAGTAAAGCACCATACTCCCACCCAGGGACAGAACAACCGGACGAGAGGACAAGCTGAGGATGCCCTGGAAACCCATCAGACCTCACAGCTATTTACCAAAATGCCGCCTGCTCCAGCAAGGTGGACCCTCTCATTGGAAAGACAGAACTGAGTCCCCCAAGTTGTCCCCCGACCGCCACACGTCTGCTGCCATTCATACCCACACACATATATACACACACACAAAGTAAAAATGTACTACTGATAATTGTTAAAATGCCATGCAAAAGCATGCATATAATCTTCTTAAAAGTAGGACAGATTCTCTGGGCCAGACCATATGTGGCTGTTAAAGTCTCAATACATTTAAAAGGATATGAGTCAAACAAAGAACGGTACATGGTATGTGCTCTAACCACAGAGGAATGAAATCAGATTAATAACAGAAGGAAGGCAGTTGGAAAAGTCACAAATATGTGGAAATTAAGCACACTCTTTAGCAAGCTGAGGTCAAAGAAAAAATTATGAAGGAAATTAGAAAATACTTTGGGATGAATAAAAACAAAAACTTGGCCTGGAGAGATGGCTCATTGGTTACAAGCACTGGCTGATCTTGCAAAGGACCCAGGTTCAATTCCCAGCACCCACATGGCATTTCACAACCATCTGTAACTCCAGCTCCAGGGGATCTGACTCCCCTCTGGCCTCCACAGGCACTGGATACACATGTGGCGCACAGACATACATGCAGGCAAAATATAACATAAAAACAAATCCAAAACAAAAACGCAACATACCAAAGTGCATGGGCTTTGTCAAGCCAGAGCGGAAGTTAGAGCTGTCAAGTCTGTACTAAGAAGGAAAAGTCTTGGGGCTGGAGAGATGGCTCAGCATTTAAGAGTTGGTACTGGTTTCAAAGGGCCCAAATTCATTTCCCAACACTCACAAAGAGCAGCTCATAACTAACTGTAACTCCAGCTCCAGGAGATCTGTGCATGTACTGTGTGTACATGCACACACACACACACACACAGAGTGGTGGTGTATGGGATGTCATATAGGGCACCCATACCCTGACTGCCATTTATACCAGGCAGGAGCATGTCCAGAGAAAATACACAAGCTACACCAGTCCATTTGAATCTAAAAACTAGAATATTGAATCAGAAAGCAAGGGTGGCCCACGTCATGATCCCAGTGTTTGTGAGGTCGAGACAAGGGACCTCCAAGTAATATGACCAGCTTGAGCAGCTTGATGTGACAAGCTCTGGGTTCAAGGGAGAGGCAGACCCTTAATGTCAACTTCCGACCTCCACTCACAAGCACACCTGTGCAAATGCACCTCACACCATGCATACATGCATGCCAAAGGAGCGATTACTTCCTAACGTCAAATACAAAAGCAAAACAACCCCAAATCAAAACCCCAGATCACTTTATTAAATCAAGGAGATGGAGAACCTGTAGTTCAGCACCCACCTCTTCCCACCATTTCTCAACAACCATGTGCAGTCTGTGTCTCCACTGGCTGGGTGGCTCAGCAATGCTTAGCTGGTATGTCTGTTGGGAAGATGCGCTTCATTTCACTTTCGAAATTCTAAGCACTTCAATATGCCTCCCAAGAGACTGTACGGCTTGGTAAACGAGACAAAACCTGGGGGGGGGGACTCGGAGAAGTGGAAAGGTTCAGTCTGTCAAAAGGGCATTAAAGAACTAGGGGAGATGGCTCACTTGGAAAAATGCCCGCTTTACACTGGGGCCCTGAGTTCAGACCCCCAGCACTCGTGGTGGAGTGGCACACCCTGGGTGGGAGCAGTGGGCGCCATGTCTGAAGCTGCAGTACTGGGGACCATGTGACAGGTGGATCCCAGCCCCTCATTGACCAGCCAGTTCAGCCAAACGGGTGAGCTTTGGTTCAGAGAAAGAACTTGATCCATTCAGCTACCAAAGACGACACTGGACATCAACCTCTGGCCTCACACACACATCCACACCCACACAGACACGTGATACGTAAACCACACACACCAAAGGCCATTATAGCCACTGAAAGTGATTCAGCGAGACACTTTTTTTTTTTTTTTTTTTTTTTTTTTTTACACACAGTTCTTTTTCCCTTTTCTTTCTTCCAAGCACTACATGCAGTTTTTCTTTTGACAAGGTCTCAAGTATCCCAGACCGGCTTTGAACTCCTGATCTTCTGCCTCCACCTCCCAGGTGCTGGGATGACAGGTGTGTGCCACCACACCCACCTGGCTCTTCATAGCAACTTAAACAGAGCTCCGCCCCCAGGTGAACGGATACCATGGGTCATTCAGCTTTGGGACAGGAGCTCCTTAACACCTGCTTCAACAGGGAGCCTAAGTGGAATAATGCAGTCATAGGCCCTTGCCTAGCAGGTGTGAGGCCTTGGCTTTGATGCCCAACACTGCAAAAAGAAAAGAGAAATACTGCATGAGTCTGCTCACAGTAGTTAACCCCAGAGATGTGGAGGGTGAATGCAGGGACTGGGGCGCGCTGTGAGGATTTAGGGTTTACTGCATGAGTCTGCTCACAGTAGTTAACCCCAGAGATGTGGAGGGTGAATGCAGGGACTGGGGGGGGGGGGTGCGCTCTGAGGACTTACGGTTTACTGGCACAGTTGCAGAGTTGAGAGATGGGTTTGAAGGTTTGGAGACTGGCTGCACAACTTTTAGAAGGCATTGAGCTACTGACTTACACGTTAAGATGGCTGAGTCAGCAAAGGGCTTGCTGTACAAGCAAGAGGACCTACGTTCAGGTCCCCAGCATCCACATAAAAAGCCGGTGTGGCTGGGCATGGTGACACACACCTCTAATCCCAGCACCTGGGGCAGGTTCAGAGGCAGGTCCAGCTTGGTCTACATAGTTCCAGGCCAGCCAGGGCTACCTAACAATATCCTGTCTTTTGCCAGCGAGGTGGCTCAGCAGGTAAAGGCACGTGCTGCCCAGACTGATGGCCTGAATTTGAACCCTGGAACCCACCCGGCAGAAGGTGGAAACCAACTCTGCAAACTGTCTGATGATCTGCCATGCATGTGCACACACAGGTACACACTCACATAATGAAAGAAGGTGAGTGTAGTCTGAAGAGCACAGACCCATTCTGCAGTTATGGCGGCCTCAAAGTCAAGTTGCTGGTTGGTCATCTGGGTGGAGGATGGCTAGAATATGGTGTGCTTCTGGCTTCCACATTCCAAGAAAAGTGAAGGACCAAACTATTGAGTATTTACCATGGACCAGACTGGGGTAGTGTGCCATATGCTGGGCATGGGAGCAGTGAAGCAAGGTGTTCATTCCCAGATCTCTTAGGGGTGTTTGTGAGTCACATTTTCTTTTTTTCTTTCTTTTTTTGGAGCTGAGGATCGAACCCAGGGCCTTGTGCTTGCTAGGCAAGTGCTCTACCACTGAGTTAAATCCCCAACCCCTCTTTTTTTTTTTTTTTTTTTTAAAAAAAAACTTATTTAACTTAATTTTATGTGCATTGGTGTGAAGGTGTCAGATTCCCTGGAACTGGAGTTACAGACAGTTGTGAGCTGCCATGTGGGTGCTGGAATTGAACCCAGGTCCTCTGAAAGAGCAGTCAGTGCTCCTAACCCCTGAGCCATCTCTCCAGCCCTGAGTCACTTTTCTTAACTTCATATCCAGGCCAATGTCATCTTTAGAAAGGACACCATTAGTATTTCAGAGGGCAATAGTGTATGTATGAGCTTAAGGTTTGTTTATTTATTTATTTATTTATTTGAGACAAGGATTCTCTGTGTAGCCCTGGCTGTCCTGGCTTGCCTCTGCCTCCCAGGATGCTGCGCTTAAAAGGCACGTGCCACCACCTCCCAGTTATTTATTTATTGAGAATCTCACTATGTAGACCAGGCTGGCCCTCAATTTGAGAGATCCACCTGCTTCTGTGTGTGGGGGTATCCCACCCCCACATTTCCCCAGAGTACTCTTGAGCAGGAGCAGGAAAATATTAGATCGAAATTTAGAGGGAAGAGAAACAGATAGGAAACAAAGGACAGCCTCGTGAGGACCTGGATCCTAATCCATCGGCCCCGACTGTCTCTGCCAAAGGGCTTTTAAAGGAATACCAAGGGGTGGAGCATAAGACTTCCCCTCAGCACAGCCAAGTGCAGACCATCTCAGACACCTGGTACTCAGGCCCGTGGTCCTAATCATCCTCTTTATGCAGACCTGCTGGGTAAAGCCACTAGGAAACCTAAATGGGCCCCAATATTCCTCTACCTTCTGAGTGAAGAGATTAAAGGTGTGTGCCACCATGTCTGGCTTGGGGTTAAGAATCCCCCCCCCCCCCCCGAGACAGGGTTTCTCTGTGTAATAGTCCTGGAACTCACTTTGTAGACCAGGCTGGCCTTGAACTCAGAGAGATCCACCTGTTTCTGCCTCCCAAGTTTTGGGATTAAAGGTGTGTGCCACCATGTCCAGCTTTTTTTTTTGAAAATCATTTATTTTTATGTGCATGTGTGTGCCTGTGTGAGTTCATGTGCTCACCTGTGTGTAGCTGTCTGTTACGGTCAAAAGAGGCAACATGTCCTCTGGAACTGGACTTATATTTGTTTCTGGCTGTGAACCCACCCTGGGTTCCCTGTGAGAGCAGCAAATGCTCTTAACTGCTGAGCCATCTCCCCAGCCCTGTATTCTGTTTTTAATTAGTGTATATGCACGACGTTTTTAAAATAATTGTTTATTTTGTCTAAGTGTAAATGTGTGGAGGTCAGAGGACAACTTGCCAGTTGGGGGGGCTGAACTCAGGTCATCAGGTTTGGAAGCTGGCATCTTTACCCACTGAGACACCTTGCCAGCCTGGGTTTAGGTTTTTAGATAGAAAAAAAAAATTCAAGGTGTCCCCCCCTAGATCCCTCCTCGTTACTTAACCTCTCTAGGTCTGTGGATTGTAGCATGGTTGTAGGGACCAGGGCCAGTTTGCTAAGACCTCTGCCCCATATTACCCCACCATCCTATGTTGACTCATGTCTGGCTTCAATCAGACCCTCTGGAAGTACATCCAGTCTGGCAGCCAACCAGGGTCCCACCCGGCCCGAAGCAGGAACTGTTCTTGCTATTTGCAGTCAGACAGACCCCTGACACAGCAACCATACTTGCTGACCAGGTGTCACGAGCCAATCATAAAATGATTCCTGTATCAGTTAGGGTCTATCCCCAATTACTTCAAAGTACACTTAACCTCAGTCCAAAGCAGGCTTAAAAGGGGCTGCCTTACCCTCCCTTGGGGTTGAAGCCATTTTGGGTGGGTCCCAGCTGCTTTCTGCAACTGCATACCAGGTGTCTTCAGGTCATTTGGAGCAATCTAAGGACCCTACATGGTTATCCTTTACTTAACAGCTCATGTCCACTTACAAGTGAGTACATACCATGTTTGTCTTTCTGTGTCTGGGTTGCCTCCTCAGGATGATTTTTTTTTTTTAGTTCTATCCATTTGCCTACAATTTCAAGATGTCATTTTTTTTTAAAACAGCTGAGTAATACTCCATTGCATAATATACCATTTTCTTTATCTATTCTTCAGTTTCTAGGCTGTTTCCAGTTTGTCTATTATGAGTGAAACTGCTATGAAGAAGCTGTTATGAACACAGTTGAGCAAGTAAGTGCCTTTGTGATAGGATGGAGTGTCTTTTGCCCAAGGGTGGTATAGCTCAGTCTTGAGGCAGATTGATTCCCAATTGTCTGAAGATCTGCCATACTGATTTCCATAGTGGCTGGACAAGTTTGCACTTCCACCAGCAATGGAGGAGGGTCCCCTTGGGATGCAGGGATCTCCCTGGGAAGGGAAATAGACCTTGTGGGTGGACTGGGGATGGGTAGGGATGGGAACAGGAGGGACCAGATGGGGTAGGGAGGAACAAGTAGAATTGGGGGCATGGGGGGTGTGATATGGGAACCTAGTGCAGTGGAAACTTCCTGGAACCCATGGGAGTGACCTTAGTGAGGACTCCTAGTAATGGAAGATATGAGGCCTGAACCAGCCATCTCCCATAACCAGGTAAGGCATCCAGTGGTGGGATGGGGACATTTGACCCATAACCTGTCCTTCCTGCAGTATGTGCTGGGGCAAGGGTGACTCAGAGCTTGTGGGGAGCGGCCGACCAATGACTGGTCTAACTTGAGGCCCAAGCCACGGGAGGGAGCCCATGCCTGACACTGCCTGGATGGCCAGGAACTGGAAGGTGGATGGCTCAGAGAACTAGAGTAAAACCAAACACCACTGACAAAAACCAACCAACCAACCAACCAACCCCCAAAAACAACAACAAAAAGTCAATGGCATGACTACTGAGGATATTCTGCTACACTCATAGATCGCTGCCTGGCCCAACTGTCCTCAGAGAGGCTTCCTCCAGCAGCTGATGGAAGCGGTGGCAGAGAGCCACACCCAAACGTTAGTTGGAACTTGGGGAACCCCGAGGAAGAGGGGGAGGAAAGAATGTAGGAGGCAAGAGAGTCAAGGACACCAGAATATGGCTCACAGGGCTCGCAGAGACTGAAGTGACAGTCTGGGGGCCTGCACATGTCTGCCTTTGGTCCTGTGCCATTTGCCGTGATGTTATTTAGCTTGGGGTGTTTGTGGGACTCTTAACAGTGGGAATGGGCTGTCTCTGACTCTGGCCTGCTCTTGGACCCTTATCCTCTCATGGGGTGGCCTTATCCAGCCTCGATATGAAGGTTTGTGCCTGGTCTTATTGCATGTTTGGTTGGTATCCCTTGGAGGCCTGCTCTTTTCTGAAGGGAAACGGAGGTGGGTGGAGGTGGGGTACTGGGGGGAGGGGAGGCTGTGGTTGGTTGGGATGGATTATATGAAAGAAGAATAAATAAAAAGATAGAAAAGCAAAACAAAACAAAAAACCAATCCAGACTCCTCTGTGTGGGAACCTGTTTGTGAGCATATATAATACAGAGCTGGCTGGTGACTCTTGAGGTCAGCCCCACCCTGCCCCTAAATACTAATAATTACCTAATTTGTTTTTATCTCTTTTCTTGGTCAGGAGCTCTACATAGATGACCTGAAGCTGAGTCATGATGTCCCGAGGCAAGAGCTACTTTATAAAAACACATTGCCCCGAAGCCGACTTGGTCCAGAAACACGGAATAACAGTAAGCAAGGCCTAGAGTCTAGGTGTACCCGGTCAGCTGAGACAGACTAGTGCTCCCAGCTCCCAGAAGGTGAGTCCCTCGAAGCAGCCTTGTCTTCCCACATCTGGAAGGTTACCAGAGCGTGACTTCAGGAAGTGACGTAGTCCCCATTCCAGTCTGAGGCTTCAGGGCAGCTTTCCCTTTACTGTTCTCTGGAGCTGACCCCGTGGACCCCTGAGTGTGGGGGGGCCAGTGTGGAGCTGAGCACTTTGCCGTGGACTTACCTTCAGTGAACAGAGGCATTCCAATAAACAGACCTGGCTGCTCAAGATGAGGGAAGAACAGAATCTTCGTCCTTCTCAAGCTAATGAGGTTGTAAGATGGTTGGGAGGGCTTGCCACTCACAGAGTCCAAAAGCACCACACCTGCACCCCCATTTCATCCAGGCTCTGTCTTCTAAATGCTGAGTTTAAAGGTATGTGCCACCATGCCCAGTAACCTTGGATCCTTGACCTACCTTCCTTGCCCAGGGCTGGCATGACAGATGCGCACCACACACCCAGTTTTATGTGGAACTGGAGATGGAGCCCAGGGTTTCCCACTTGTTAGGAAAGGACTCTATCAACTGGGCCACATCCTCAGCCCTGGAGGAGGCCTTTCCACAACACATTAAGGTCACCTATGTAAATGGGCACTATGGACTGAGCAAAACTATGCAAATAGTTACTAATGTCACGTCTCCTCTTTATACCTTTCAAAACCTAGCAGAGAAATCTGCCTGCCACATCAGAGAGAAACACTTGGAGGGAAGCAGAGGCCTCCCAACTTTCCCAAGACACTTCAGTGCCACCGTCCAGAGGAGCAGGTGGAAATGCAGCCAGGCTAGCAGGCTTTGGGTGGATTCTGGGGTAGGACTAGTTCAAGTTGAACTGAACTGGTTCTGCTGTCAGTGTTAGCGACAGTCTCTAAGGCCAGGGTTCTGATGCACCATGCTGACGGCCATCGTGGCACTGCTGAGACCAAGTGTGGACACAGCTCACTCAGCAGCATGCTTTGGGGGCACACAGGCTGCTCCTGAAGCAGAGTCCAGTGACAGTTCCAGGCAGGACTCTGGCTCATCCCGAGTTCTTAAGTGAACATTTGTCTAGAAAGATGTGGAACTGGCCTGGTTGTGGTGGTGCACACCTTTAATCCTAGCACTTGGGAGGCAGAGGCAGGTGCATCTCTGAGTTCAAGGCCAGCCTGGGCTACCGAGTGAGTTCTAGGACAGCCTGAACTACATAGTGAGACTCTGTCTCAACACAAACAACAAAATTATTTTACATGAAGACCGAAGCTCAACTCTCCAGCCCCGTGTAAGAATGCTGAATGTGGGGCTGAGAGACACGGTTCAGACATTACAGGCTAGGCTAACAACCAAAGTGTCAAAAAAAGCTCAATGTGGCTGTGTCCACAGCCTGGACTGCTAGCACTGGGGTGGGACCCTCTCACTGAACCTGGTGAGCTACAGGTCAGGAAGAGGTCTGTCACAGGGAGTAAGGTAGACAGCAACAGAGAACACCCAGTGTCTCTCCTGGCCTCCCTGCATGCATACAAACCAAGTGACGGAGGGAAGGAGGGGCCTGGAGCCTACAGGGCCCTTACAGACAAACACGGCCATTTCAGCACTGTGGGCTGCAGAGCATGTGCAGCTGGGACTCAGGGACAGTGTACTTTCCAGGAAGAACACACACAGCACGGAACACCGCTTGAGATGGGCACCCCTGTTTCATGTATTTATTAGTGAGAATAGTTCAGCATTATTTCCTAAATCAGTTAAAAAAGCTGGATTATCCATTAGTAAGAAAAAACAAACCTTGATTTTTAGTTCAATGGTTCACCATAATAAAGGCACACTGTCACACCACCCGGCTCACTCTCTCTTTTTTAAACCATTATTTATTTATGTATGAGTGCTGTGTCTGCATGTTCATCTGCATGCCAGAAGAGGGCATCGGATTTCATAATAAACGGTTGTGAGCCACCACATAGTTGCTGGGAATTGAACTCAGGACCTCGGGAAGAGCAGCCAGTGCTCTCAACAGCTGAGCCATCACTCCAGCTCCCCAAATCTCATTCCTTTAACTGGGCTCCGTCAGAGTTTTTTCAACCCAAACAGCTTCTCTGCATCCAAGGACAGACCAGCCCAGTGGTGGTTTAAATGATAACGTCCCCACAGGCTTCTGTTTGAAAACGTGTTCCCCAGTTGGTGCAACTGCTTGGAAGTCTTAGAAGGTGTGGCCTTATAAGAGGAGGTGTGTTAGTGGGTGGGTTTGAGATTTCAAAAGACTCATGCATTCAGTTTCTCTCTCTCCCGGTACCTGTAGATCAAGAGAGTTCTCAGCTATTCCTGCCACTGTCTTTATTCTGCCACGTGGACTCCTGACTCTGAAACTGCAAGCCCCCGGTAGTCCCTTCTTATGGTTGCCTAGGTCAGGACATCTTGTCACAGCAACAGAACAGTGACTAATACTGTTGTACTAATTCTGTTGAGCTTCTGAGATCAGTGGAGATCCATCGTCTACAGCATGATGGCTGGAGACCAAAACATCTTTCTTTCTAGGCTACAGCATGATGGCTGGAGACCAAAACATCTTTCTTTCTAGGCTATTTATCAGGGCTGGAGAGATGGCTCAGAGGTTAAGAGCACTGGCTGCTCTTGCAGAGGACCTGGTTCAGTTCCCAGACCCACATGGTGGCTCACAGCCATCTCTAACTCTAGTTCCAGGGGATCTGATGCTCTCGTCTATCTTCCTTGGCCACCTAAAGCACAGAGTGCATGTATATATACATATGCAGGTAAACACCCCCCCCCCACACACACACACATTAAAACAGTAATAAAGAGACCTTTGAGTCAAAACCAAGAACAACGAAGGGGTGGGGCAAGAGGTGGCCCAGCAGTTAAAGAGCACTTACTGTTCTGTAGAGGGCTCAGGTTCAATTCCCAGCACCCACATCTGGCTTACAACTCCCTGTAACTCTAGTTCTAGGGAGTCCAAAGTCCTGTTCTGGTCTCTAAGGGCACCTGGACACACACACACACACTCAAGCACATACTGTAAGTAAAGTCAAGGTAAGTAAAATTTAAAAATCAAAAACCTAAGAACAATGAAAAACCACTTTAAAAAAATTTATTTAAGGAACACAAAATGCATCTAAATGATTTTTTTTTTTTTGTATTGTTTTGAGACAGAGTTTCTCTGTGTAGCCCTGGCTGTCCTAGAACTCATTCTGTAGCGCAGGCTGGCATGATAGAGGAGTGTGCCTCTGCCTCCTGAGTGCTGGGATTAAAAGAGTACACCACTACTCCAAGCATCTAAATGATTTTTGAAAACCCAAAATTTAACTTTATTATCTGGTACCCATCACTGTACCCAGTCTAAAGGTTGTTTGAAGACTCTAATTCCAGATAAACTGTTGAAATTTCTGACTACAAGAACATGTATGGTCCAGCGGTGCCGCACACCTCCTCCTCCCGGAACCAGTCCCCTTGGCCCGCGATGTACACTCGGGAGAGAGCTGGTGAGGTTCCTGTTTTCTGACAAAGAGGTTTCCTGTAAAGAGCTAACTGGCCGATCTTGTTAGGTCCAATGCAGCCATGTCCTCACTGCTTCTGCATTCTAGTCAACAGATCTACAGACATCAGAGAGTTAAATAAGAAGTCAACTCCTGCTCTGTGTACTTCCTAGGTGAGACCAGGCTTAAAACATCCATGGAAAGAGGCAGAAGCATAAAATGTGAAATTTGAGGCATTTCAGTCACCAGTAAAAGAAATTCTCAAAACTTAATTCCATCTGTTGCACGTAGAATAAAATGGGAACAGTGGGAAAACAACTTGATTTGTAGGTTTTAAGGTCCTAATTTAACAATGAGACTGTTTTATTAAAACCACCATAAAAATAAAAACCCATCTAAATGCAACTGTCAGTGTTCCCAGGGCTAGGAAAGGGAGGTTTCCAGGCTTAGGTGAAGAGTTCTCTGGGCTGCTGGGTGTATCCCCGTAGGGTTTCATAGGCTATGGAGAAGCAAGCTGTGCTCAATTCCATACATTACCCATAGGACTAAAACCCAACTACGCGACTATTTAAATCTTGCCCTGATCCAATGCCTAAGGACTGGAGATTTTGGCTTGATGTACCTGCATGAGAAGCCAGCAACCTTTACAGCCCACACCAGAACCAAGAGGCACACGGGAGAGCAGCTGCCAGCCAAGCCCCAGGTACCATCACCCCAGGAGGAACTGCCTGCTTTCAAACCTCACAGATCTTGCCATTCGAAACCCAAGCTAAAAAGTAAAAAGTGGAAAGTATGTTTGCATGATAGAGGAGTGGGAAGTTTCTTCCACAAAGCGGTACATAAGCTTACAAGCAATTAAAAAAAGAGTAACTCCATCAGTCCACTCCAGGTCTAGGACAAGAGCAAGCCTCAGGTTCTTCACGGGGGGCAGAGATTGGAAACACGAGGCTGGGCAGCAGTGCGGGCATGACGCTCTAAGTGCTAATGTCATTCTTGACAGGGAGGACACTGGGAAAACAAGGCCACTCCAACTGCTCTCCACACCTCCCAAGTTCATTCTAATTAGGGAAAGCGAACCCCAAAACTCCCGCCTGCCACCACCACTAATGAGGGTGCTGGAGTAATGACAGACTCTGTGTGACAAGCTGGGTATGACAGAAAGCCATAGTCACAAGAGTCTGAGACGGGAACTTGGGAAGTCACTGGACAGGCAGGAAGTGGCTGCTGTTTTCTGCTGTGGACCTGGGGAAAACCTCCTCTTCCATCCCCTGCCCTGCCTCCCAGTGGGAAAGTAGGGATGCACTGAGTTAGTTTTCCAAGGCTCCTGCAATGCTACTGAAGTGCTGATGTAGAATCTCACAGCGGCCGGGCACTAGGATCATCTCAAGGGACACTGTTGGACACCGAAAGGTGACAAACTGAAATGAGCTGGACTTGAGCTGCTGGCTTGGTCTCTCCACACCAACGGCCCTTTCTGTTCTGTTCCCGGGCATGTCCCCCCACCCCCACCCCCACCCCCGGGCAGCAGCAGCAGGGTGTTATTTTGGGAAGCTACTGGTTTTGCCATTTGCTTCCAGAATCACAGAGACTGTAACAAACCTTACACTAAACACTGTGCAGTCCTGAGTTGGGTGTGAGCCCAGCAAGGAGGGCCGAGTTCACGAGGACTCTCTTCCCTCCTTGGCGCGGCGTCATACATGGCCTTCAGCCTTTCCTTCTTCCATGACCCGACTCTCGGATCTCTTCCCGGCCGCTCCTTCTACAGCCTTCTTGCTCATCGCTTTGCTGGCTGCTTCCTGAGGGTTAAAGGAGGAGGAGGTGAAATTAACCCCTGCCTTCCCAAGATGGGTTTATCAGGTCTACAATAAATGTGTATGCTTGTATTTGGGGTGCACAGTTGGGAAGTGGAGGTGGTGGTATGTAACAGAAGAGCTTGCTATCTGAGGTGGCTGTTGACTAATTGAGTCCTGTGCTAGTGGAAGCTGGGCATCGAGGACAGAACTGGGAGCAGAGGATGACTGTGGGGCAAGAAGCTGACCTGGCTTCAGACAGACAGATCTACTGCCAGCGTGGCACTCACACACACAGTAGCGTGTACAGTAAAGGGACTGTGGTGACACACCTGTCTCCGAGTCAAGCTGGACATCGCAACCAGAAACTGTTACTTGGAAAAAATACTGATGGGCTCAGCATTTTTCTTTCTTTTCAAGACAGGGTTTCTCTGTGTAGCCCTGGCTGTCCTGGAACTCACTCTGTAGACCAGGCTGACCTCAAACTCAGAGATCCATCTGCCTCTGCTTCCCAAGCACTGGGATTAAAGGTGTGCGCCACCACCACCTGGCTGAATTGTTATTTTTAAATAACAAGCTAACTTGGTTTGGTGACAGAAGCCTGTAATCCTAGAACTCATGAGGCAGAGGCAGGAGATCTCTGAGATGAAGCTGGCCAGGTCTGTAGAGTCTTGCAAAAACAAAACAAAATAAAGCAAAAACCAAGAGCTTTGCTACGTCTCAAGGAGTTAGCTTCCAACTCGTGCACGGCACGCAGGGCCTCAGCACCTGTGCCTCTGTTTGGACAGTGTTGGAGCCCCCCCACCTGTGCACCCCCAGCAGCCCCTGGCCACACTGGAGTCTCTTCCTTCGCCTTGGCAAGCCTCGGTCAGGGCCTTGCACACACCTTGGCGTCCTGCTCTGCAAACTTCTTGAACATGTTGGCGTACACCTTGCGGTCCCGCTCATTGTGCTCCTTGGCCTTCTTCTGGCACACGGAGATCTGCAGTCTTGCGGCCTTATTCTGAGGGTTGACCTCTAGTACCTTCTCAAAGTCACCTCTGGCTGACTCAAACTCATTCATGAGCAGCTGGGCTTCACCCCTTCTGTACAAGCCTTTCTCATTGGCACTGTCCAGTCCAAGGGCCTAGAAACAGATGGTCCACAGGTTAGAAGGGATGGCTGTAACTCTTCTCACTTGAGGGCATTGAAAAAGAAATTTAATAAACAGTGTACAGATCAAGGGAGACAGGAAAGAGGTGCTGAAACAGTGGGATCACAGCAATTACACCCCAAGATAAGCAGACATATATATATATATGGATCACATATAATCATCAAATTGACTTTGGTTTTCAACATTTTAGTATCAAATGTCTCCGCCAAAGCTCATGTGTTGAGAGGTTTGACTGGACCCTGAGGGCACTTATCAGTGAGTCTTTTTTTTAAAGATATTTATTTATTTATTTATTTACTTACTTACTTATTTATTTATGAGTCTTTTTAAAGATTTATTTATTTATTCATTCATTTATTTATTTATTTATTAGGTATACAGTGTTCTGCCTGCAGGCCAGAAGAGGGCGCCAGATCTCATTCTAGATGGTTGTGAGCTACCATGTGGTTGCTGGGAATTGAACTCAGGACCTCTGGAAGAACAGCCAGTGCTCTTAACCTTTGAGCCATCTCTCCAGCCCTCAGTGAGTCTTTAATGAACACGGCAGTACAGGATTAGAGCAGTGGTTCTCAACCTGGGGGTCACATATCAGGTATCCTGCGTATCAGATATTTACAATTCATAACAACAGCAGAATTAGTTATGAAGTAGCAATGAAATAATTTTAAGGCTGGGGTCATCACAACATGAGGGACCGTATTAAAGGGCCGCAGCATTAGGAAGGTCGGGAACCACTGCACTGGAGGAAAGTCAAAGGGGTGTGCTTTTTTTGTTTGTTTTTTGAGACAGTGTCTCACTTTATAGTCCTGCCTGTCCTGGATCTTGCTCTGTAGACCAGGCTGTCGTTAAACTCACAGAGATCCACCTGCCTGTGCCTCCTGAGTGCTGGGATTAAAGGTGTGCACCACCACACCAAGCTTCTTGCCCCCATTCTCTGTCCACAGCAACAGTGGCAGCCAAACATGGACCAGAACCTTTGACCTAAGTGTAAGACAAAGTGTCCCCACCCCGATTTGTGTGTGTGTATTCATGTGTATGTAGGCCGGATGCCAATCTTCAGCAGCTGTCCACCTTGTTATTGAGACTGTCTCTTACAGACTTGGGGTTCCCTGAACAGCCTGGGTGGCAGTGAGCCCTGGAGGTCTGCCAGTCTGTCCTACCAACACTATTACAGGCACAGGAGGCCTGGAATTGGGTTTTTTGGTGTGTGCGTATGGGTATTTTGCCTGCATGTATGTCTATGCATTGCTTGCACACCTGTGGAAGCCAGAAATGGTAGTAGGATCCCCAGGATTGGAGTTACAGAAAGCTGTGAGCCACCATGTGACTGCTGGACATCGGACTTGGGTCCTGTGGAAGAGCAGCCGATGCCCTTAACCACTGAGTCGCTCTCTAGCTCCTCACGCACAGCTTTTATGTGGGTGCCAGGGACCAAACTCTGGTCCTCATGCTTGTGTGACAGGCACCTTACCCACCAAGCCACTTCCTCCACACTTAAAATTTTAAGTGTTCCCATTTCTAGCCCTTCTACTTCTGGG